AAGGGAAGTTTGAAAACATTTGCAAAAGCAACTCTAAATAGCTCCACATTTTCTTCTTGTTTGCATTATTTCTTTTTCCATAGCAGGCCAGATTTGACCTGTGGACCACAGTTTCTTTTGACCCCTGCCCTAGATCAATGAAAGCCAATCAGAGATACTTAGAGCTGAAAAGTAGTTTAAAAGGCCATCTTGTCCATTACAGAAAAAGCAAATGGAAATATATATAATATCTATATATGACTTATACATATAGATATGGATAAAATTTATATATTTATATTTGGAAAGACCACATGCAAACTATTCATGACAGACAGAAAAGTGTGCAATTCTCAAAACATATTTGAAAAAGATGACTTCACACTTCCATTGGTACCACCCTCTTTTGTCTTACAACAGCCCTGGTAAGGATGATCTTTCTAACAAACCCAAATACTTCCTGATATGCTTTAAGTTTATTACCTATCACCAGTCTTTCATGAAAGTAAGAATAGCCATGCTCCAGCATGTAGATTGCACTTCTTTGTGAGTATGTTTGATTTAAAGGTAGCTTATAGTTAGGATGACCATAGAATTTTTTGTCCAAACTGGGATGCTTTTGTGGGTAAAATAAGTATGTTGGGACAAGAGGTATAAACTATAATATATGGCCACCCTGCTTAAAGTCCTCCATAGAGGAGATGGTTTAACTTGCCCCAAAGAAAATGAATCTCTGTGCCTTTTCTCAATGGAGTATGGCTTCTCATTACTCTTGCAGTCAGGCCCATGGTATAATCTTGGTCTCTAATCTCTAAACCCTCTGAGGTTAAATATTAGGAGTACCTCCTTGCTTAAGCAGTTATGTAATACTTGAAATGGGCTACTAAAGGAGAAAGGCATAACTTTTTAAATGCGGTCTGAGGGTGTTTGACAAAAATAGTAGATAATTGTTTATATCAAAATAATCTTACTGGGTAAGATGACCCATTGAAGTCCCTTTTAGAAAAGTAAAAATTATGTGCATAGTAGTTGGTCTTGAAGACTTCAGTCCTTTTACAACCAGAGAACAAGGGAGGGAAAGACATCAGGTCATAGTGTTTATCTACAGAAAAAGAGGCCAAAAAGAGCACACTCCCTAGCAGAGGCCTGTGAATCACCCGTGGGCAATGAAGGACTGAGGGGAAGAGAGACAAAGAGCACCCCTTACCTGTAGCTTGCCTGGGAAATGTGCTACCATCAGTATAAGGCAGCTTCTTCCCTCTACCCTCCATTCTCCAGGCTGACGCCATCCCAGACCAGATTTCTCCAAGGTTGTGATATGCTTATTGATGCACAAGACCAGTGTTGCTTGGGAAAGGAATATTGCCCTCTGCCTGAAATTAAAGGTAGGCCCAAGTGATGCAGTCTCTGATTCAGTGCCCTTTGTTTTGTTTTCAAGCAGCCCTGGAAAAGTGGCATAAAGAGCAGTGCAAGTTCTTTATGTCCAACTCCTATGGCCCCATGGTTTTAAAGGGTACTTTATGGTGGAGAACCTGTTAGTGGGAGAGCTAGTTGATGGGCAACTTTTCATAGGAGGTAAAGGGGAAAAATAAAGAAAAAAATTAAAGTGTTCAAACTTGAAATCTTTCTTTTTCCCGTGCAAAGTTGTTTTTATTAAAGCACAGGGACAGGGCCCGTGGGCAGAAAGAGCTGCACTATGATTGTGAGGAGTGATTGATTGTATACTTTTAAGTTGGGTGGTAGAGATAAAGGAAGTTTCTAAAGTGATTTTCATATGTTAAAGAAGACTTATAGGATCCTGAAAGTCTGGCTATTGTCACTGAAATCTTTAATATGGGAAAAGCAGAGAAGCCATATGACCTACTCCTTATTTTATCATTTTTCTTGCCTATCATCCACTTTGGTTCTTCTCTCCTTTTGCCAACTACAAGCAAGAACACTTAATCATGTATGTGTCACCAGACAAATAAGTTTAAAGATAAGGTAACAAACAAAGGCCAGTTAAAATCTCCTCTCCCTTACAAAGGGATTTAGACCAAAAAAAGTGTTCATTAGAACTGGACTTAGGAGCAGAGAAACTGTAATTAGTGAATGCTTTTTGGTTAAGCTAGTCCCTCTTGGTTAAGTAAATACTTTGGAAAAACCAAGACCTCCATGGTGATTGTGTCAGAAATCCATGAGCTCGTTTTTGAGTGTTTAAATTCCAGCACTATCATTTTCCTCATCTCTTTTCTCCCACTACTAAGGCAACACCATCATATCTTAAGTTCTCTGCTCACTGGGTACTTTACAGATAATCAGAAGATCGTGAAAAAATGAAAAAGAGAGAAAAGAGGCAGTGAAACAGAGAAAAAGTGACAGTGTTCTGCTCTTGTTTGACTTTGACAACAGGGTGTTTATAGGTTTGCGTGTGCATGTGCGCTTGTGTGTTTTAAAAAGCATTGATGCATCAAAGATTTATTCACTGAACAGGTTGATTTATTTAACAGACTTGACAGATGTCAAATTCTACCATGTGCTTACATAATTGTTACCCATTAATCAAAGCTATTATTTAGCCAAATATTTGTTTTAAAAGTATTTTCCTTTAAATGACTTTCTCTAGTCCACTGCACAATCAATCAGTGGTTCGTTTTTATTCTGTTTTGTTCTGTTAACAACAGCTATTTTAAATTTAATCTTCCTAGGGCCATTTCATCTCCACCCAAAATCTATTCCTTTTTTTCCTACTAACAAATTTCTAGTTAAAATCACATCATAGGGAAAACTTTTTAAATATGTACAATGTCCTTTCGTGTTATTCTATTTTACACTCTTGATTTCCAAAAAAAAAAAACAGTTTCTCAACATATTGTTAAAATCACAGATCTGAATACTGTTAACCTAAGAAACTGGCTTTAAGGACAAAAGGACATGATTTTATGTGTGTGAGTGTGTATTTGTGAAGTGTGGAAGGTGGCTGGGACAGCTAGGGGACAGCAAGTGTGTAATTAGAATAAAAGGAAGTAAATAGAGTCAAATTTCAAGTCTTAAATTTTGTTGAATCACCCTACTCCATCTGAACACATGTGCATAAAAATTATATTTTGTTCAACTCAAATGCATGTAATCTTTCTAGATTCTGTGGAAGGTAAAATATTGGAAGGTATTTCTGAGAAACAAAAATGTCTAATCACTAGCTACCAGTTTGAGTTCTTCTATTGAAATATACCATTTGGAAAAGCAAGAGGCTCATTTTGACCTCCCAGATCAAGGAGTGTGAAGACTTTAAGAAAGATGGGGGGGGGGGGGGGCCGGGGGGGAAGGGAAATCCCACCACCACACAAGTAAGTCTTTGACCTAGTAAGCAAATACGTTTTTGTTGTTACTGTTGGGTAAAATGTACAAGTCTTCCAGAAATTAGACACTGTAATAAAAATGTACCAGCCCAAATTTAAATTGCTCACTAGACAGATGGTTAATTATATTCACAGCCACATATTTCACTGGGATAGTTTCAGACACTCAGCCAGTTTTATTTGATTAGCCAGTTTCCCTGTTAATATGTAAAATGACAGTTACTTAGGGCTTTTCTGTTCCCTTCTAAAAATATATTTTAAATAAGTGTAAATTCTCCTCAGTCATGAGAACGTCACTGCTGTAAATAAAATGTTTGGTTATGGCACCCTATTTGTAAAAGATGTAAGGCATATTCGTCCCCTGAAACCTAAACTGTCTCTATAGTTCAAAGAAGACTATTGGAACACCTTTTCTCACCAAACAAAATATTTCAGGAACTATCTGAACACTCTGCTCCTCCACCAAAAACAACCGTGGAGATATTCAAATGACTGGTTGACAGGCTTTTGATGCTTTTAAAAAACAGCCCTAGCAGCCCTACACACAAATCATGTCTCTTCAGATAAGAGTCTAGAAAATGGAACGTTAGGAAAAGGCCACATAGCTAAGTACTATGCTGTGCACAGAATTCAACAATATGCTGGGAGCCAAAACCCAAAAGCAAAATATGAAACCTACTGATTCCAAAACGCAATCAGAAGCTCGGCAAAAAAATCAAGAATGTCGATGTTGAGATAGAGAGGCCAATTTTTTTTTTTTTTTTTTTAACTTCGAAAAAGATTGGAAACCTTGCGCGGGTGATTCGGTCCCTCACGAATCAGACAGAGAAGCAGTCATGCTGAAACCACTGGATTCCTCAGCAGAACGGCGCCAACTCAGCGGCGCGATTTCCATACTTTCCCAGAGCGGGCCGGCTCCTCACTTAGGCTCGCGGCCTCCCGCCCCACCGGGTGTGCCAGACCCAAGCGGACCTATGCAGAGGGGCGCGGCAGAGCGAAGCACCAGAAGCCGCGCAGGACAGTGTCAATTCGATTGCCAGCGAAAGCGGGAAGGGGCCGAGGGCCAATGTTTTGCAAAGCTAGGCGAGGCTCTTTAGGACCCCCAACATAAGCCCGCCCGCGGCCCTTGGTCGGGCGGTGTGTGCTGGGGAGCGCTCTGTGGTTGGCAGGGGAGCCCCAAGCGTGTAGGGGGCGCTGGCGACCGTACTTCGCACCTCTGCCGCTTTGGCCCTAGCTCCCAGTCGCGGCCGCCGCGTGGGTTTTCCCGCTCGCACGGAAGCGTGTGGTCTTGGTGCCAGTTTCCTGGCCAGGATCTCTTCGGCACCAGCCCGAAAGAAGACGGCACACTGCAGTCTCCGATGCCCGGCTGCGTGCGTGCGAGCGCCACGGCTCTGGCCCGCTCGCTTCCCCTCCCCCCTCTCCCGGCGCGAGCACAGAGGCCTTTCCTAGATTGCAGTGCCTGTCAGGGTTGGCCGAGATCTCTCGCCCTTGCTGCCTCGCTCCCTCGTATACAAACACACACATGTACGCCATTCTCACACAGAGGTCCTCCCTTCCGTTTTCCCTTCCTCCTCTTTTGGCTCGGCTGCTCCCAATTCGTTCCACCCCTTGCCACCTCCACCTCGCGCCAGCCAGGGAGCCTGCGAGAAGGCCAGGGAGCTGGATGGCAACGCTGGTACTCACCTCACAGGCCGCCTGAAGAGGCGCAAGTCGCTGGCGGGCTCAGGCAGCGGGCGCTGGAACTAGCGCGGTCGCAGTCAAGGCAGGGCTGTCGCTGTCGCCGCAGCTGCTCTAGCCGCCGCCGTCGCCGCCGCCGCTGCTACTGCTGCCGCCGCCGCCGCCGCCTCTGCCTCAGCTCCATGCGCCAGGCCCGCCAGGTGAACGCGCCTGTGTCCCTCAGGCGCCACCGCCGCCGCCGCCGCCGCCGCGGTGCTAGATGGAGTCAGAGCTGTCAGGCTCTGGCCCTGAAACTCAGCGCCTCAGTGACTATGGGCTGCTCCCGGGGTCTGTGTTTCGGGTGTACCACCGCTCGCTCCGGCCGGGACTATCTCAGCAGCCGGCTGCGCGTGCGGCGCTGGAGCCCTCTCAGTGCGGTGGCTGCGGCGGTCCGCGGGAGGGAGAGAGAAGGAGGGCGGCTGCTACTGTCGCTGTAGTCGTTAAAGCTATTGCTAAATGCTGCTACTGCCGCTACTGCTACTGCTACTGGTGTGGCGGTGGCGGCTGCTGATGCTGATGCTGATGCTACTGGTTTTCCTTCCCGGGTTCTCCCCCTGCCTCGTCCCCCCTCCTCCTCCCCTTTCTCCTCCTCCTCCTCCTCCTTCCCCTCCCTCCGCTGCTTTTCTCAGAGCCTTGGCGGGCGCTGCCTGGTCTCCTCTTCTCCCTGAGATGCCTCTGCCCATTCAGAAAGGTGCCCAGAGTGGGACTGCCTCAGCTGCCACCATCGCTATTGCCTCTGCTATTGTTTCCTCCAAAACGGTTGTTCTTGCTGGCTGCGTTCTACCCCCATCTCCCTTCCCCACCACAGCCTTCCCTTTCCATCCTGGTCTCTCTACCTTGTCTAGGGTCCCTTCCCCATGTACCCCCTCCCACTCTGTCCGTCTGTCCCTCCCTCCCCTCAGGCGCCCGGGAGCGCGCACTGCGCGGCCACCTGTCATAAAGGGCGCGCACCCCCCTTCCCCACCCCACCCCGCCCCCCACTCACATTCTTGCAGCTAGCCTAGTGCACCGCGCCCGTGGCGAGTTCTTCCCTAGGCATACTCACAGCTGGACACCACTCTCCCACATCTTTTAGAGCAGTTATGTGTACAGAGAGGGGCGCTCTGAAGTTTGGGGAAGAAGAGTCCAATGGCTTCCTCCACCAAGCATCTAACCATTCAATCTCTACCTACCCTTAACTTCAGAGCCTAGGCCCCCAGGGGGGTGGGTCATGAAGGATTAGATGAAGGGCCATTCCCCAGAGAATTGGAGAAGGGCGTTTTCTGGAATAAAGAAGGAGAGAAGGGAACATGAATAAGCCCCAGGAAGGAAGAGTAATCTACCTGACTGCGGTCATTGAGAAATCCCTTAGGTGATCATTACCCTTCAGAATTCCTGGGAACACAACAGGAAATGGCAAAGGATTGTAGAGCAACTTTAGAAGGGACTATTTAGCACTCTGGAACCCTGGATGTAAGTCTGGGCCTGAGCCTCTGAACCATCACCACTAGGAGCCAGGGCAAGAGAGGGAAATGTTGGTGCTAGAACGGAAGGAGTAAAACTAAGCTACTTTGTGTGCACTTGTTGCAGCAGCCCATTGGTAAAGCACAGCCTCACCATTCAGTCAGGGCCCGATTTCAGGTTTGTCTACTGCCACAGCTGCAGCCTCATTTTGCTGCCACTGCTCAGGCTTTGAGACTGGATGTGTGCAACTTCTCACTGTTACCCTCAACAGAGTTTCTATGGCCTGTGACACAACCCCTCTCCAGAAACAGCGCAGGTTGGAGGGGGGAAGGGGGGACGGAGATTTCTCTGTCCCTAACAAGGTACAAGAGGCAAATGTTGTAGATATCCCACTGTCAACAAAATATGGGTTTCCTTATCAAGTTTCATGCACTCTCCATGGGTCTTTCATTGCTGAGCAGTAAAGTGGCTGGGCATTGAGGGCCTTTTTACAATTTGTCATCTCCATGCCTTGGTTTCTGCCATTCCGCCTCCCTGGAACATTCTTATCCTCTCCCCCCCTCTCATTTCATATCTATGAAACTCATCCATAAATAATAGCCCATCCTTAGATAATTGACACTCACTGAGTCATTACTATGTGCCAGATACTGTGCAAATTATTTTACTTAATCCTAACAATTTTATTACTCCCATTTTACAAGTGAGAAAACTGAGTCACAAAGAAGTTAGATACAGACAACTTGAGAAAAGAAACAAAACCTTTATCTTGCATCTTATTTATCAAGCACTATGCAAATACATTTGCTTCTTTCAGGCACTGGGATAAATATGAAGAAAAAAAGGATTTGGCTTCTGCCCTCAAAAACAAAAACAAATAATATTCAACATGTGAAATGCTACACCATGGTATTGGATGGATCTCAAGTGCTACAATGAATTTCTCTTTTCCCATTGTTGGAAAGCATTGTTTTCACCTATATTAATGAAGTACACTATTCTTCTTTCTTAAAGTTAGTCACTTAGGGGCGCCTGCTGCGAATCCTCTGTCCCCCCTCTCTCTGTCCCTCCCCTGATCGCGCTCTCACCCTCTCTTTCCTTTCTCAAAAATAAACATTAAAAAATTTTAAGTTAGTTGCTTATTAGTTACCAGTTATAATTTGTGTCAATGCTCTCCATCCAAAGACTACCGGGTACACACCCTCAGTTGAAAAAGTTAGGTTTATTACTTGTTACAGTGAGGGAGAATGTACATCAGAGATATTAGGGGTTGAACTGTTTCCCCTCTCAAATTCATATCTTGAAGCTCTAACCTCCAATACCTCAGAATGTGACTGTATATGAAGGTAGGACTTTTGAAGAGGTGATTAAGTTAAAATGAGGTAATTACGATGGGCCCAAATTCAATCTGACTTATGTTCTTTCATAAGAAGAGAAAAATATGTACACATAAAGAGACACCAGCGGCATATGCAAACAGAGAGAAGACCATGTGAGGACACAGCGAAAAGGCAGCCATCTGCAAGCCAAAGAGAGAAGTTGGAGGAGAAACTGCATGTACCAATACCTTTATATTGGACTTCTAGCTTCCAGAACTGTGAGAAAATATATAAATCTCTGTTGAAGCCACTCATCCTGTAGTATTTTGTTATGGCAGCCCTAGCAGACACATACAATAAGGACATGGGGTGTCATAGTAAAAGGATGGTAGAAAGGACTTCTAGGCTTTGGGCTTTGGTTGGGTAATTTAGGGGAGAGTCTTAGAAAGTAGGGATTCATGCTGTATTAAATGCTGTCAGCAAGCAAGGGCAATTCTATGATTGGGAATCTTTTTTTTCAAATTTTTATTTAAATTATACTTAGTTAACATATAATGGAATATTGGTTTCGGGAGTAGAATTCAGTGATTCATCACTTATATATAACACCCAGTGCTCATCATAACAAGTGCCCTCCTTAATGCCCATCACCCATTTAACCCACCCCCCCACCTACCTCCCCTTCAGAAACCCTTGGTTTATTCTCTATAGTTAAGTCCCTTTTAGTTTGTATCCTTCTTTCTTTTTTTCCCCATATGTTCATATGTTTTGTTTCTTAAATTCCACATATGAGTGAAATCATATGTTATTTTTCTTTCTCTGAATGACTTATTTGGCTTAGCATAATACACTAGTTCCAACCACATCATTGTGAGTGACCAGATTTCAATCTTTTTGATGACTGAGTAATATTCCATTGTATATATACCACATCTTCTTTACCCATTCATCAGTCGATGGACATTTGCACTTTTTCTATGGTTTGGATATTGTTGATTATACTGCTATAAACATCAGGGTGCATGTACCCCTTCAAATATGTATTTTTGTATCCTTTGGGTAAATACCTAGTAGTGCATTTGCCGAGTCATAGGGTAGTCCTGTTTTTAACTTTTTGAAGAACGCAATACTGTTTTCCAGAGTGGCTGCACCAGTTTGCATCCCACCAAGAGTGTAAGAGGGCTCCCCTTTATCCACATCCTTGCCAACATCTGTTGTTTCCTGTGTTGTTAATTTTAGCCATTCTGACAGATGTGAGGTGGTATCTCATCATGGTTTTAATTTGTATTTCCCTGGTGATAGCTGATGCTGAGCATCTTTTCATGTGCCCGTTAGCCATCTGGATGGTTTTGGAAAAATGTTGATTCATATCTTCTCCCCATTTTGTAACTGGATTATTTGTTTTCTGGGTGTTTCATTTTATAAGTTCTTTATTGATCTGTGTAGATTCTTTATCAGATATGTCGTTTGTAAATATCTTCTCCCATTCCATAGGCTGCCTTTTAGTTTTGTTGGTTGTTTCCTCTGCTGTGCAGAAGCTTTTTATCTTGATGAAGCTTTTGTTTCCCTTGCCTTTAGAGACATGTCTAGTAAGAGGTTGCTACAGCCGAGGTTGAAGGATTTTGATGATGTTATCAACCACATTTAAGTCTTATATCCATTTTGAATTTGTTTTTGTGTATGATGTAATAAAGTGATCCAGTTTCCTTCTACTGCATGTTGCTGTCCAGTTTTCCCAGCACCATTTGCTGAAAAGACTGTCTTTTTTCCATTGAATATTCTTTCCTGCTTTGTTGAAGGTTAGTTGACCAAATAGTTGTGGGTTCTTTTTTGGGTTTTCTATTTGTTCCCCTGATTTATGTGTCTGTTTTTGTGTCAGTACCATACTGTCTTGATCCAACAGCTTTATAATATAGCTTGAAGTCCAAAATCGTGATGCCTCCAGTTTTGCTTTTCTTTTTCAGGATTGTTTGGCTATTTGGGGTCTATTGTGGTTCCATACAAATTTTAAGATTGTTTGTTCTGGCTCTGTGAAAAATGCTGGTGATATTTTGATAGGGATAGCCTTACACATGTAGATTGCTTTAGGTAGTATAGACATTTTAACAATATTTGTTGTTCCAATCCATTAGCATGAAATGTCTTCCCATTTATTTGTGTCCTCTTCAATTTCTTTCATAAGTGTTCTATAGTTTTCAGAGTACGTATCTTTTACGTCTTTGACTAGGATTATTCCTAGGTATCTTATTGGTTTGGGTGCAATTGTAAATGGGATGGATTCCTTGAATTCTTTTTATGATTGAGCATCTTA